GGTATTTAGAGTCACCATGGAAACAAGTCTTTGGATGCATCTGTGAGAGATTATCTAGATTAAATTGAGGTGGAAAGACTCATCCAAAATGTGGGTGGTGTTGTTTTGTAGACTGGGGTCTGGGACTGAGAATAAGAACAAAAAAGCAAGTATTTACTACCCTCTGCTTCTTGACTCCAGACTCAATGTAACCTGAGGCCTGGACCAAGCCACACAATCACCCTCACCATAGTGGACTATAGTCCCAAACTATGAACCAAAATTAACCCCCTTCTTCCCCCTCTTTAAAAAAATCTATTTATACTTTTATTTTATGTGCATTGGTGTTTTGCCTGCATGAATTTCTGTGTGAGAGTTTTAGATCTTGGAGCTACAGACAGTTGTTAACTGCCGTGTAGGTACTGGGACTTGAACCCTGGTCCTTTGGAAAAAGTTGTGCCCTTAACCACTCAGCCATCTTTCCAACCCCAAACCCTTCCCTTCTTAAGTTGCTATTGTTGGGTATTTCATTGTAGCAACAAGACAAGGAACTAACACAGTGATTACTGTGGTGATAGTTTGCTTAGTGTCTAACAAAGTTTGCCTGAAGATCAGAAAAGCAAAGTGAGTTTGCCTTTCTCAGGCACTAGAGAGTTCTCACCTTGACCAATGCTCAGACCAATGGGTGATCTTGTCCTCAGACTGCGTCTCCAGACGGCACTGCTCCTCAGACTGCACTGAGCAGGGGGGATGGGTCTATCTTTTGTTGCTGTTACTGTTAGTTTGTTTTGTTTTTAACATCTCTTGAAGGTCTGAGGGATGGGTCTGTCTTGTGCTTATCATTCATGAAGCCTTTTTCTTTGCTGTAAAGGTCACTATGGAAGGTGACACATGCTTGCCACTGTCAGTTCTAGAAAATAATGGAAAGTAACTGAACTGGAAAACAATTAAATGAAGACAACCTTCTAAGTACTTGGCGTCTTCCCACCTCTCTGATCACTTAAGACAGTGGTTCTCAACCTTCCTCATGCTGTGGCCCTTTAATACAGTTCCTCATGTTGTGTTATTTTTATCACTACTTCATAACTGTAATTTTGTTACTGTTACGAATCACTATGTAAATACCTGATATCCAGATATCTGATATGCGACCCCTGTGAAAGGGTCATTGGACCCCCCAAAGGGGCTGTAATCATCCACAAGTTAAGAACCTCTGATGATCAAAGGGATTAAGACTGGGCTGGTTTAACCCCCAGAAACAGCTGACCAGACAAAGGTTAACTCTTGAATCCCAGGCATTAGCCTGGGAAGCCAGCATGGGACTGATCAAGACCCCCTGAATCTGGGTGTCAGTGAAGAGGCCTAGGGAATCTATTGAGCCTTGGGCAGCAGATCAGTACCCATCCCAAGTATACACACGGACTTTGGACTCCAATAGAACAATGTGAGGTGCACTCTCACCCAGAACTCTTGGGAAAGGGTCTAGGCCCTGCCCTATATGAAATGACACACTATGGACACCCCCATGGAGGGCCTCACCCTCCCTGGAGAAATGAGAGGATAACGGGGGGGGGAGGGGAGGGCACAGGAGGAAGGGAGGGAATGGGAGAGGGACCTGGAACTGACTTGTGAAGCAACCTTGATTCTTATCTAAATTTAAACTGGAAAATAAAATTTAAAAAAACTATACATAATATGAAAAAAAAAGAGAGACTCTGCTAACGATTGAAAGGTGTGTACATACAGCTGGAAGTGGCAGCTTTTGCTGGATGTCAGCATGGACTGAGGCGGTAAACTGGAGTCACGCTTACGCCCGCCATCTTGACGAAAAACTGGCAGTTTAAAACAGCCGCGGTTTTACAGATAAGACACGTGGCCAGAAAAACGTAAAGATTTACAGTAAAGTCAGACTTGGATGAAGAAAATCTCTAAAAGTTTACAGTGTGTTTAAAAATATACGTGGGATTGAGAGAGAAAATGAAACGGCAAAGTGCTATATAAATACAAAAGCCGGCGTTGTGGTGGCGCACACGGGTAGGATTTACTCCAGAGGCAGAGGCAGGTGGATTTCCAAAGAGAAATCCTGTCTCAAAGAAAAATAAATAAAAGTAAAATAAATAAAGTAATAATAGATAAATAAATAAGCCACGTAAAGATGGAAAATACACAGAGAGTCTGGATACTGCATGCTATTGTGTTTTTCAGTTTTTTGCTTGCTCAGGAAGGAACTGCTACTAAAGTACACTTGATTATAAATGCTGCTAAATTAATCCAACTTCTATCTTTTGAAAATGCCTTGACTTCAAAATTTAAGTATAATGATATGTTACTCAAAAAAGGAGTTTTTGCTTATGTTTCTACAGAAAATGAAAAGCTGAGGATTCCTTCCAGGCTTCTGTGGTTCGACGAACCAAGACCCCCGGAAGCAGTGGACAAGGTGTTCCAACAATTGAGACAGTTAAGATGATGCAGCTTTACAGACCCCGAAAATAAGGACTTATTCAGGTTTCTGAGTTTTGTCATGATCCCCATGGTATGAACAGCGCCCCTTTCCAGCATGAAGCAGTTTGGAATGAGCGACGTCCTAATTCCCATCTTGTTTATAAATCTTTGTTTTCATTTAAATGGGATTGTTTATAATTGGCTAATGATCACAGCCAATCTTTTTAATGGTAAAAAAGGGAATTATGGTATGGGTATTGTTTTTCATTTATTGATACAAATTCAAGGTCAATTTTGTGATATGTATATTTCTCCTCTTGATTAAGTATTGTGCTTATACTGATCTTTTAAAATGTAATGCATAATTGAATACAGACTATAGATAGTTACTTTTAATAGTCAGAACTTATAGTTAGGTTAGTTAGGTTTTCTAGATATACAGAAAAATATTTGAGATAGATAAACAGTCTTCAAACCTCTCAAAGACCTTCAGAAAATGGCATTTAAAATGGTTTAGGGCTTTTCTTGACAATGAGAAATGTCTGCTCCTGGCAGCACTAATTACGTCTGAGAGGAAGATGGGCATCGAAGAAACTTGTTATGGAGTTTGCTTTCAACATGGCAAGATTAGCCATTTGGGCAAGAAACTGCTCTTGCCTAGACTGTTTGACTGTTGCTGTATAAACTGGACATGCAGGACCCACAGGAAAGTGAATGCTGAACTCAGTCTTACAGGGTTCCTGCTTCATGGAAGAGTCTGAGAGACTTTCTGCAGGACAAAGAAAAATGATTGACAGACTGCCAACGCAGATGGACAGTTTGAAATTTCCTGCTTTGCTGAGAAGTGTTCCAGACACGTTGTGGCCTATGGGCTGAAGATGGATGCCCCAACGTTACAGAGGAACTTCGGGTGGCTGTCCAGGCAGTAAGATACCTCTGTCAATCCTAGTGTTTATATATTATCCTTCTGTGGTCTTTGATGGAGTTGAAGACAGATAGTTATAGTTTTTCTTAGTTATGATAAAAGATAAGCTACATATAGGACTTTGGACTCACAAGAATGAGATAGATGATATTTTCTTTAAATCTTGCTGAATGTTGATAGACAAAATATTGTAACTGTATTCTTACTTGATAACTGTTCTGTTGTATATAATTTGACTATGTTAAAGTTAAGACCTTTCTTTTGTTTAAACAGAAAAGAGATGTTGGGGAAGTCCTGTTATTTGCCTGTTGTTTGTCAATAAAGTACTGTTGAGCCTATAGGAATCTAGATAGGTGGGGCTAGGAGTCCAGGAGGATTCTGGGAAGGAGAAACACAGGGAGTCAAGATGTAATGCCATGGGGGTAGGAAGCCCGGAACCATTCTCTGGTAAGAGAAATACTTAGATTAACAATTATGGGGTAATTACTTAAGTCAGAGCTAGCCAGTAAGAAACAAGCAAGGCCAACAGCTTCATAACTAAAAAAAAAAAAAAAAAAAAAAAGAACCTCTGACCTAAGACATGGTTTAAAAAGGGCCTGTTTTTGGAGTCTGTGGATGGAAAGTGTCCTCTGCAGTGAGGGTGATAGGTGATTATAATAATCTGCTCTCCTCCTCACCAGGAAACAGCCTGGTGTCAAAGTGTGGAAAATAATTGGGGCCATCCTATGCCTGTTCTCTCTCTCTCTCTCTCTCTCTCTCTCTCTCTCTCTCTCTCTCTCTCTCTCTCTCTCTCTCTCTCTGTGTGTGTGTGTGTGTGTGTGTGTATCTTACCTGTCTATAGAACCGATACTGGTAGTCTCACATTCCCAGGGTCCTCTTTATATATACGATGGTAGATATAAAGGTACAGCTCTGTCACCCAATTGAGGCCAAGACTCAGTCCTTAGGTCTCCAAACCCTTAAAGTTAATAACTTGTGGGCTTCCCATTCCTCCTGTTTGGGCAGCGTGTTCTCTCCTTGCAGGGGCCAGGAAGGGGTTAAAGGACAGGCAGGACCTGGAAGGTTTGATGAACACGGGGACAGGGAGGAAGGGAGCTATGATGTGTTTACCTAATGACTAGGGTAGGAGGCACATTTTACCTGGCCATCTGGGCCTTCCCAAGAATCAACATGCCTGACCGTGAGCCAGTCTAGCTTGCTCCTGGGAGAAGACAGGACTGAAGCACACATGGGGTTATTAATAGCCCAAGCTCCCTGGGACCCTTTTTCCCTGAGCTGTTTCCATGTGAGGCTCCATCGGAGTTTTGTTTCTGGTTCTCATGAGTTATTTCTGCCCTCTGCCCTCAGTCCCTTTGCCGTAGGTCAGCTGGGTGGGGGTGGGGACTGCCTAATGGCATACTTGGGGGTCATAGAATCAGGAAGGGCTGTGAGGGTGGGCAGGGCCTTCCTCGGCTCCAGAGAAAGAGAAAGAGCTGTACCCAGGGAACCTCCAAGTGGGGACATGGGGGAGGTACGCTGGGAGACTGCCTCCCACCAAGGCACTAATGGATTCCCTCTGTACACAGGGAAGGCTCTCTACGAGTCTGCAACCCAGAGTTCCCCAAGTTAACCACTCAGGCTATAAAGGCAGGCTTAGCTCTGTCTAGCTTCTTACCTTGTTCTTGTGGAGACCGAGGGGTGCAGTCCTGAAAGGCAATGTCGTAGCACGGACACAGCATCACCCCACACTCCCAAACAGTCTGGCAACGTCCTGTAGTTTCCCAGCTGTAGTAATTTAAGGAGAGCAACCCTCCTCAGGGGCAGTAGGCAGACAAAGCTCCACCGAATGTCTTCTTGCTGTGGAAGGAAGAGTGACTGCTGGACCTTAAGGGGGACGGGTCCTGGAGCATTGGAACCCAGTATGACATTCAGAAGAAAAATCAGCCTTAGATTTGGAAATGGTTGGTGGGGGGATGGTGGTGACAGAGACACTGAGTTGACATGGTGAATGCATGTGAGAGGTTTGAGAACCTAAGGGGAAACGTTAAGTTGAAAAGTCGTTAAGGATCAGAGGAGAGAGAGAAAGACTGCTGTGAAGTTTGTAACTTGTAAGCCAGTGTGAGGCTAGTTCAGTGCCTAGGATATGCTTCATAAATGCCATGGAAGAAACGAAGAAGGGTGTTGAAGAGGAGGAAGAATGCCATGAGAGTAGAGAGGTAACAATCACACATTTGATGCCACCACACCTGAATGCCCCCAGCCCCCCAATGTCTGTATGTGAAGGTGACTATTCTCCTATTGTAGACGCAAGCCCAGCAGTTCAGAGCGGGGTGACCGAAGACACAGATAGCTCATGGTGGCCGAAATGGGAGGTCGCTCACACCAGAGTTTAACCTCATCGTGCAATTGCAAAAAACAGGTGGGACCTCAAGAAGGAAAGGGAAAAAACTAGCTAGGGTAGGAACAGGAAGCAGCATTTTAGAGAACGTGTTCCGACTTTACGGGGATCTCCCACTTCAGTCTGCATTTAAAATGTGTACGCAGTGCCTGCGCGTTAAGGGGGGAAGACAGGTGGCCAGTGCAGGCAGAGAGGTAGAGTCTAAAATGTGAAGCTGTGTGTCATAGATCTCAGGGTTATGTTTGACTGAAGGTGACAAAGCTCTAACGCGTCTCTCTAGCTCGTCTCTCTCGGAATGAGAGAGCTAGCATGGCAGTTTAACGACATCACTGGGAACTCAGCCTCTGTATCTCCTTTCTCGTGCATCCTTTCATAGAGGCATTTGTCTTCTTCGTCATAAGTTGCTTGCTGTACTTCCAAACACTGCATGGGAGCTCCAGGCAGAGAAGAGAAAATGATGAACAAAGTTCTGCCATTTATTTTGATGGCAGACTTTCCCTTCGGGTCAGTTTGCTTTGAAACAGCCAGGATGGTGTCTCCTGGTTCCTTACCTCTGCAAGGGAGGATGAACAGTTGAGCCTTCTTCTTTTAATACTCTGAAGCAGAGGCAGAAAAGACATAAGTGAATGGAAAGTAATGTTTATCAACTTTGTTGTTAAAGTTTGTTTACTACTGTTTATAGCATGTTTGCAAAAAGTGCGAGTGGTCTATTTTGTTAGAAGGCATTAGAAGATGCGGCTTGTAGGCGGGGACTGAACTGTGAGTGGCATTTTGTGTGCAGGATTGGCATAAGCTAATTCCATGAGCTGTTAGGCCCTTTCAGGAACTCTGAGTGTGGTTAACGGCAAACAAGATTGAGTATATTTCTCCAGAAGGAGCTACTCTTACATTACAGGAGGATTGTATGAGTAAGCATGTCTTCTCGATTTCTTATGGCCGTTCTCTCTATTTAATGGTTCACTTATCCATCCATCAATTCATCCCACACTTACCACCCACAATTACCTGCTACCCCCACTCATCCATCCACCCATCCACCCATCCACCCATCCATCCATCCATCCATCCATCCACCCATCCATCCATCCATCCATCCATCATCCATCCACCCATCCACCCATCCACCCATCCATCCATCCACCCACCCATCCACCCATCCATCCATCCATCCATCCATCCACCCATCCATCCATCCATCCATCCATCCATCCACCCATCCATCCATCCATCCATCCATCCATCATCCATCCACCCATCCACCCATCCATCCATCCATCCATCCATCCATCCATCCATCCATCCATCCTTGTGCCTATGTATCCACTTACCTGGCATCAACCCACTATCCATCTAGCTATCCACTAACCCATCCATCCGTCAGTCTGTCTATCCTTCCATTCCATCCATCTGCCCATCCATTCATCATCCTTCAATCTTCCCATCACGCATTTGTCAAATCAGCTGCTCGGTAAGCATTTACCAACCTATGTGCCTGCTGTATTATCCATGTGCTAAGCTTGTTTCTCTCTCCTTCTTTTCCCCAGCCCCGGTTGAGACCTTTTCCAGACGTGGGAGCCCAAGGATGGAGAGAGTTATCTAAAGCCGTTGCTATTTCAGTCCAGAACTTGAAGTTAAAAATGTTCAAATGGAAAAAAAAGTTTAAAAATATAGATGTGTATTTTTCTAAAACCCCATTAAGCTGTCAAAGGCTCTCGCTGTGTGTTTCCTTTCCCATCGTTGCTAATCGGCAAGGTATGTGTGTGCCCCAAACAGCAAAGTGGCCCTCCGTTTCCTCTTCTTCACCCTCCAGTTACACCTCCCACCCCTGACCCTCCTCCTTCCATTGCTTATACTTAATCTATTCCCCAGCCTCAGGGACCTAGCAGCTTAATCTCCGCTCCCTGGAGAGACTGCTAAAGGGAACAGCAGCCCTGCTTCTGCCTAGAGGCTGGGACGCCCACTGCAGACTCTGTGGTGCATCTACACTGCCTGAGCAGCTGACTCTGTGGTCTACACTGCCTGAGCAGCAGAAAGCATCACTTTTCAGCTCTGAGAGCCTTATTGCGCTGGGTTCCAGGTTCTTCTTGTGTAGAGTGAGAACTGACATCTCCTGTGTCTTCCTGTCTTTGTGAATGGAAGTAAACAGATTGTGTAAGCCACCAGCAGAGTTTTGGACTAATGTTTACCATTAAAACTGCTGCCTTGACGGGTGGTGATGGCAATGCCCTTTAATCCCAGCAGAGGCAGGCGGATCTCTGTGAGTCTGAGGCCAGCCTGCTCTACAAAGCGAGTTCCAGGACAGCCAGGGCTGTTGCACAAAGAAACCCTATCTCAAAATACCAGAGAGAGAGAGAGAGAGAGAGAGAGAGAGAGAGAGAGAGAGAGAGAGAGAGAGAGAGAGAGAGAGAGAGAGAGAGAGAGAGAGAGACAACAAAAAACCATCAACCAGACAAAGACAAAACTACTTCTGCTACTGCTGGGATCTTACTGCCCTCCACTCTGTTCTCCACATTTAGAGTTTTAGCAAACGACTAGAAGATAGACCCTCCTCGTCCAATCCTATAATTAATGCAACTATGTAATAATTTGACACAACAAGTGAAAAAACAAAATGGAGGAGACTTTTCTAAAATGAATCAGGGAGGGTAGGGTGCAGAGTCAACCTTGTGCCACAGGAGTAGCTCTTAGCTTGTTCCTCTCTTCACAGTCTACCAAATGCTTGCGTATTTAGTATTATCTTCTTTACGATACCGTGTCCCTTAATGTTGTCCGACCATCACAGCCACTCCTCCCCTGCTAATGTCTAGAGAATCGAAAACACACAAGTGAATTGTCTTTCTCATTGCGCAGCACAGCAGGCAGAAGCCTGGGAGCTGCCTAGAAAAGGGGTTCCAATGACGAGGATTGCATGGGGCAGGCAGAGGCAGCGGGGCAAGACTCTCCACTCTCCATTTATCAACTTCTTCCTGGGCTAAATGAAGGCATTGTTTCAAAGGAAGTGGTCACCAGGCATGGTGGGTGGCAAATGTTTGTTACCCTCCAGCTCTGGAGAGTGAGGCAGGGGGACCCGGAGTCAGAGGCCAGCCTGGGCTGCATACATAGGGAGTCATAGGAAGACCCCACCTCAGCAAACAAACAAACAAACAGCAATAACAAAAGAAACATTTACAAGGTAGTTGAAGATAAGTCTGAAATATAGCACATTTTTCTAGCCTTGGGTTCCTATGATTCTGGTTTTGATTCTGATTTACATATATAAGCAGGGACCCAAGTTCTGCGGATGCTGTGAACATTCCCACGCATGGATCTGGGGCAGTCTAGGAGTCACCCTTTACAAAGCTGAGCTCCAGCGTTCCCCAAACATCTCAGCAGCTCATGGCATTGCCTCTGGGCTCTTCAGCATGACGGCTGTTTGGAAACCAGCTAATTGTGGGTGCTAAGGAGGTTATGGGTGCCACAAGGGATCCCTGATGGGTGTGCCAAGATGTCAGCTTTTGAGAGGCTTGAGGTGTAGATGAACATGCAAATGGCAGCAGCTGTAAGTGATTGCTCAGGACATCCCAGCAGAACACACACCAATTGCCGTCCTAGGCTGCAGTGACAGTCACTGAGCTGGGGGTCCTAGGATTACCCACATGTCCCTGGTGCCTGGGGGGGGGGTTCTTGGCCAATCTCTGTGAAGTGAATAAGCATCCCATGCTTACCTCTGGGAACCCCTGACCCAAAAGATCTGCTTCAGCGTCCACGCCCTCTGTCTTTGTTCCACAACACCTCAAGTTGGCAGCTAGGACCTGGCTTCTCATGGATGACCTGACTACAAAATTGGAAGCAGAACAATCAGTGTGGCTATGCTTGGGGCCTTACCCTCCCCACGCTGGAGGCATTCACAGTGAGGGCAGAGAAAATAAACGAATGCAGGGAGAAGACAATGGAGGAGTGTGTGTGTGTGAGTGTGTGAGTGTCTCTGTGTGTGTGTGTATGAGTGTGTGAGTGTATGAGTGTGTGAGTGTCTCTGTGAGTGTGTGTGTGTGAGTGTGTGAGTGTCTCTGTGAGTGTGTGTGTGCATGTGTATGAGTGTGTGTGAGTTGGGTTGTGTGTGTGTGTCTGTTTGTGTGTCTGTAAGTGTGTGAGTGTGTGTGTGTGTGTGTGCATGTGTATGAGTGTGTGTGAGTTGGGTTGTGTGTGCATGTGTCTGTCAATGTCTGTGTTTGTATGTGAGTGCGTGTACGTGTGTCTGTGTGTTGTGTGTGAGTGTGTGTGTCTGTCTGTGTGTGAATGTGTATGTGTGTGAGTGTGTGTGTATCTGTCTGTGTATATCTGTGTGTGAGTGTGTGTGGATGTGAGTGTGTGTCTGTGGATGTATGTTTGTGTGTGTGTGTTGGGAAGTTGCTTAGGACAAGCTCTTTGCTGAGAGAGTGCACAGCCTAAGTCCCTGATCCACTGGGTCAGACAAGAGAACAAAAGCACTTTTATCTGGAGGAAAGCGTTCCCAGAAAAATATTCTGAGCTAGAAAATTCCTGTCATCCTTGCTCATTTATTTTGTATGATACAAGGGCTCAAACAAAGTCGTGCACTTTACTGTGGAGCCCTGACATAAAGAGAGTCTGTGTACGGCTGTGGTGGCGGCTTGTGCTCAGCCTCCCTGGCTGCTGCTCTCTTGGGGTTCCTGAACCACCTCTCCCACTAATGCCCAAATGCTGGCAACCCCACCGCGCCAGCCATCCCACTGCCCTTCAGGCTCAAGCCTGCCTCCATAAATACTCTACTGAAAGAGAAAGATCCTTTCTTAGCAACAGAAACCCCATTTATCAGTTAGGTGGCTTTTGGTTGTAAGTCCCAAAATACCCTACCAGGAATGAATTAAAGCACAGATAAGTACTCTCACGCTCAGTGGAAGCGGACACTAGTTACAATTGTTTAGTGACCCAATGATTTCAGCCGGGCATAGACTTCCCCTGTTTGCCCTGTCTGTCATCACACGGTCACAGATGTCGGCCATAATTCTAACAAGCAAAGTCCTCACAGAACCCCCAAAGTGGAATGGGTGAGTTCCAAAGGTCATTGTATTAGTTACTTGTCTCATTGCTGTTATACATGCCTGACAAGAAGGAACTTAAAGAATGGTAAGCTTATGTTGGTTCACTGAGTGTATAGTGCATTATGGTGGGGAAGCCAAAATGGAAGAACTTGCGGCAGCTGGTCACACTGCAACTACATTCAAGGAACAGACAGTGACAAATGCTGGAGGCCAGCTCCTTCTTCATGAGTCTCAGCACAGAGGACAATGCAGTCCAGCCACAGAGTGTGTTCCCCACCTCGGTTAATCTACTCTCGAGAATTCTTTCCAGGAGTGTCTGCTAGGTGATTCTAGATGCTGCCTCTTTGACAATTAACGCTGGCCTGCATCGTGATTTTCATTGGCAACTCTTAAGTCTTTCTCAAACAGGATTTCTTCATGTTGTATAAGTCAGAACAGGATCAGCTGTCAACTTCAGGCCAATCACTTGTAAAAACAAATACCTCTTTGATAACTTAAAACATTCATCCTTGTTGGGGGTGATATCCTACAGAGGATGGAACTCAGCTCTTGGGGGGGTCATAGGGACACACTACACACACACACACACACACACACACACACACACACACACACCACTGGTGATATTATACTTTTAAGAAAAGAGGCAATTAGAGACAAAATGTCCCTTCTGGATTCAAGTCCCAGCACCGACACTGTGACATTAACTATCTGTAACTCCAGCTCCAGAGGATCTGAAACCACCATACAGACATGCATGCAAGCAAAACACCAAAGCACATAAAATGAAAATAGAAAAAAATCTAAAATGCTCCTTCAGGGGAAGGACCTTACCCCAGTCATGATTCATTGCTGGTTCCTGCTGACATCTCTTTTGGTCTGGCAGGCAAAAGAACAGTGTCCAAATAAGTCTTAACCCTACCTGGGAAGAACTATGCTGTGCAGGCTGAAAACATGGTGGCTGTGACTTCAAAAGTGCACTGGGCTGCTGACTGCTTCCAAAGGTGGCCATGGTTGGTAACTACATGGCGAGGTCAAGATCAGCCTGGTCTACAAGGGATAGTTCCAGGACAGCCTCCATAGCCACAGAGAAACCCTGTCTCAAAAACAACAACAACAACAAAAAACAAAAACAAAAAAGATGAAGGAGGTCATTTCATATTTATCACAGGAGTGATCCATCAAGATGAAGTGTCAATTCTGAACATCTATGCCCCAAATACAAAGGCATCCACATTCCTAAGAAACATTACTAAAACTCAAATCACCCATAAAACCTCACAAACTTATAGTGGGATACTTCAACACCCCACTCTCACCACTAGACAGGACCACCAGATAGAAACATAACAAAGAAACAAAGGAACTAATAGAAGTTATGACCCAATTGGGTTTAACGGACATCTATAGAGCATTCCATCCAAACACAGAAGAATATACCTTCTTTGGCAGCATAGCAAACCTCAACAGGTACAAAAACATTGGAATATCCTCCCTGTATCCTATCAGACCACCATACTTTAAAGTTAGAATTCAACAACAACACAAATTGCAGTAACCTACAAAATCATGGAATTGAACAATGTACAATTGCACCTGGGTCAAGGAAGAAATACAAAAAGAAATTAAAGACTTCCTAGAATTCAATGAGAATGAAGACATAACATACCCAAACTTATGAGACATTTTGCAAGCAGTGCTAAGAGGAAAGTTCATAGCACTAAGTGCCCACATGAAGAAACTGGAGAATAGTTACACTAGAGAATTAATAGCACAGCTGAAAACTCTAGAACAAAAAGAAGCAAACTCACCCTAGAGGAGTACATGCCAGGAAGTAATCCTAGAAACTAGGAAAACAATACAAAGAATCAATGTAACCAACAGCTGGTCCTTTGAGGAAATCAACAAGATAGACAAACCTTTATCCAAACTTACCAAAAAACACAGAGTGACCATGCAAATTAACAAAATCAGAAATGAAAAAGGAGACATAACAACAGACACTGAGGAAAACCTGTGCTCCTCAAAATTCAAAAATCTGAAGGATATGAACAATTTTA